ACAAAAAAAACAAAAAAAAAACACCCGTTTTCACATCTAGTGTCACTTTCAATGCATATAATATTTTTGTACAGCTTCGAAATGTCTTGGTGCCAGTACTGAACTTACTTCGCCCCGCAGTGGACTGACTCACTGTTTTTCTTGACTTCCATGCGTTGGACTTCTGATTTTTTTATATTATAAATGCCATAAATCATTTTAGATTTTTTAAGGCAGTCGTAATTAACGAAAGTAAAAGACTAAATTGCATTAAGGCTTGATTTTAAAATAAATATTTTACGTTGAAATAGAGATTAATTTTTTCTCTAAAACTTTCACTCCTAACAAGATACTTACAAAACTATTGTGAATGTCGAAATGATAGTTAGGTAGAGTTTTAATTCAATTTAACTAAAAAAAAAGAAAAAAGAAAAAAAAAAAAAAAAAAAAGGTCCAAACCTACTTTTCACCAAATATTAATTGATTATCGAATAGCTAAACATTCATTTGCCCTATTTTATCCGCAAACAAAAAAAAAAGGAAATTAAAAAATCATTGGTCTAATGTATGAAGAGAATTAAAATGCACATACCAAGCTCAACAGCGTCTACGAGTAGGTAAAAATCTTGTCCGCCTTCGTTATGATTGTACTGTCTGATATCATTTAGCTCACCAAATCATGCATAGCAACCGCGTCCCCCAACATTGATATTGGCACTAGCATACCCCGTGCAGTTACATTTGTTCAAGCACTCCTTTTCACATTCTTGTAAGCTCACATTCCTATACAATTCTGATATTCTAGCCTCTGGAATCTTCGCATTTCCTAGTTTTATAAATCCTTCACCGCCACCCTTCCCACACCTACCCGCTTGCCTCTTCTCCTTCTCCTTCTCCTTCTCATTCTCATTCTCCACACACCTTATGAACCAATCGACAGGGGACCATGGTTCGAATCCAGGCAAACAGGTGCACTCCATGGCATTGTAAGAGTTGCACATGGTTGACACTCCGCACCGTGAGTATTGGTCACAACGATCTTGCGGTGCCACAAAAAACTTAGCCCATTCTTTGGTATCCAGTCGCCATATCGCCCGTTGGACTGTTCCCAACGGTAATAACACAAGTCTTTGAAAAGTCCAAGTATTTGGCACTGTGATACTATACGATACCTAATGCTAACTGTCCAACAATTTTGCATCCACTTCGTTTTAATCTAGATTGTGTGGATTATAATATATAGATATGTAACTACTTAACTGTACGTTTGTTAATATTTTTGCCATATTGGCCTAGCAATTTCAAATATTGTTTGTAAAACTCCAATTGAAGAGAGCAGCTTCATTGGTGTAGTCTTTTGAGGGTGAAATTCACACGGTCCGATACGACACCGTTTATCTGCAAGGGAAAAAGGAGAAGATCGATAAACCTTGACAGCACCGGTGTGGTGCCTGCCAAGAGCTCTCCGACGATCAAGTTAGTCACCGAAGGTCTAAAAAGAAGGCAGAGATTTAATAATAGTTTTTTCGTCGTACCTTATTCCCGAGTCGTCGTCCTATTTATTGTCGCTTCCCTTTTTTTCGATAAGGGAATTTCATCATCCTTATCCTATGGAAATCTGATCCTTGATAAGATTTGTCATCATCCCCATGGAAATCTTATCCTGCATAAGATTTGTCATCAATCTTATCCATGAAAATTTTTACCCCTAATAACAAAATATTATCGTTGATCACCGAAAAGATCTGGCGACTTGTCAACACTTGGTTGCCTTTATTGTTAGGTTAAGGTAGGTTTATTTTTCTCTATCAGTTGCCCCCATTCCCAAGCTTGCTCGTCTAGCTTTGGGAATGTAAGATTTTTTTTTTTTTTTTGGCCCCCAACACTGTTCCCTTGGGAACAGTACCCGAGGGTACTGTTCATTGAATAGTAGATTATATATATATATATATATATATATATATATATATATATATATATATCCCCTGGGAACAGTAGCCGCGGGGTACTGTTCATATGAATAGTAACGGATTTTTTTTTTTTTTTTGGCCCTGGGAACAGTACCCGGGGGTACTGTTCATATGAACAGTAACAATTTATTTATTTATTTTGGTACGCTTCCCTTGGGTACTGTTCCTCTGGTACTATTCTTAGTACCCTTGGGTACTCTGCCTTGGGTACTATTCTTAGTGCTTTTGGGTATTCTGTCCCTGGGTACTATTTTTCGTACCCTTGGGTACTCTGCCCCTGGGTACTATTTTTAGTACCCTTGGATAATCTTCCCCTAGGGTGCTCTGCCCCTGGGTACTAGTTTTGGTACCGTTGGGTACTCTGCCCCTGGGTACTATTTTTAGTACCCTTGGGTAATCTTCCCCTAGGTGCTCTGTCCCTGGGTATTATTTTTAGTACCCTTGGGTACTCTGCCCTGGGTACTAGTGTTGGTACCCTTGGGTAATCTTCCCTTGGGTACTATTTTTTGTACTCTTGGGTACTCTGCCCCTGGGTATTACTTCTAGTACCCTTGGGTAATCTTCGCCCGAAGTGCTCTGCCCCTGGGTACTATTTTTAGTACCCTTGGGTACTCTGCCCCTGGGTACTAGTTTTGGTATCCTTGGGTAATCTTCTCTAGGTAAGGGAATAAATTGTACAAGCTTTACTCAGGTCGTCACTCCTTTAATAAGGGAATTGAACTTTATAAGCTTTACTCAGCTCACCCCTTTAGTATGGGATTTTTATTTACTATCCCTTATTATAAGGGGATATTAATTACGGGATTCATTCAGCCCGGGTCCTTGTAGTACAGGACACTCATTTATTATCCCTTATATTACGGGGATATGAATTACGGGATTCTTTCAGCTCGGGTCCTGATAATACAGGATACTTATCCCCTATAGTTCGGGGATATGGATTACGAGATTCATTCAGTCCGGGTCCTTATAATACATGATACTCATTTACTATCCCCTATAGTCCAGGGATATGGATTACGGGAGTCATTCAGCCCGGGTCCTTGTAATACAGGAAACTCATTTACTATCCCTTATAGTACGGGGATACGGATTACGGGATTCACTTAGTCCGGGTCTTTATAATACAGGATACTCATTTACTATCTCTTATAGTACGGGGATACTGCATGTATAAAGATAATTGACCAAGAGTCAAGGCAACTGAAAAGAATTTTATTAAAGACCATCATTGCCTCAAGGCTTATTAAAAACAAGATAGCACGTGAGGGAGCTACCCTCCATTTAAAATGATTAACTAAAATGCCCCCAGTCTTTATTGTGAATGACTTGATAAGGCTAATTCCAGCCATGAGACAATTTCTAGTCCTCTTCTTCCTTCTATGCATTCATGGTGTCTTCACCGTTGATGTGTTTTTACGCTCTGATCAGCAACTCTATCATGCTGGTGGGAGGTTCTTTTGATAAGGAGAACAAGAATATGGAGGTTTAGAGTCCTCATATGAAAGTGGTCAAAGCTACCTTGTCGTCTACCGCTTCTACCTGCAACATCTCTGCGTTGAATTGGGTGATGTATTCCCGAATCGACTCTTCCTTTTATTGCTCCACGGTAAACAGGTAGGTAGTCGGCCTTCTATGCCTCTAACCTGCAATGAAGTGGCTCACAAACTGCTTACTCAGTTCTTCAAAGGTGTTGATGGTTCCTGGCTTCAGCTTGTTGAACCAAACTCTTGCTGATCCCTTAAGTGTAGTAAGAAAAGCTTAGCACATGATTTTGTCTGGCACAGCGTGTAAATGCATAAGAGCTTGAAAAGTTTCCAGGTGATCGAAGGGATCTTTGGTCCCATTAAAGCTTTCGAACGAGGGCATCCTGAACTTGCTAAGTAGTGGACATTTCATAACGGCGGGGCTGAACGGCAAGTTGGTCCTTTGTACCAGGTCATCTACGGCAGCAGGACTTTTCCCTTTCATAACCTGCATTACATCTTCCATTTTCCCCTTGAGATCCTTGATCTGCAGGTCGAGATAGGTAACTTTCTTTGTCTTTTCTTTAAAACAGAAGGCTGTGCTTTCAGGAGGTCGGGAACTCCGTGGGAGAGATGGGTGGACCACCTCTCTATGTTGGGTTCCCACCTGGCTTTGTTCCACTTTAGTCTCATTTTGGGGGGGGGGGGGGGGGGGGGGGGATGATTATCCTGCTCTTCAAGATTCCCATTACCTCCGTTTGGATTTGAGAGATCTTGTCCTGGTAAGTTTTGTTGAACCGGTGGAACAAGATGTTACAGGAGCACTGCATTTTGCTGAATCAACTGGTCTATACCCTAACTCAGAGTTTAGACCTGCAATTCTAACGCTGCAAGCCGTGTCTGGTCGTTTGGGACGTCCAGGTTTTCACCTGACTCTACCCTTTGACCAGATCCCTGCGATGGTGTCCCTTAGGTAACCATATCGAACTGCAAATGTATATATCCACAGAGTAATTAATTGATTCAAGAGAATCGTCGTTCCCACAGACAGTGCCAACTGTTGAGGGTGAAATTCACACGGTCCGATAAGACACCGTTTACCTGCAAGGGAAAGAGGAGAAGATTAATGAACCTTGACAGCACCGGTGTGGTGCCTGCCAAGAGCTATTCGACGATCAAGTTAGTCACCGGAGGTCTAAAAAGAAAGTAGGGATTTAATAATAGTTTTTTCGTCGTACCTTATTCCCGAGTCGTCGTCCTATTTATCGTCGCTTCCCTTCTTCTCGATAAGGGAATTTCATCATCCTTATCCCATGGAACTTATCCCATGGAAATCTTATTCTTGATAAGATTTGTCATCATTCTTATCCATGGAAATCGTTACCCCTAATAACAAAATATTATCGTTGATCACCGAAAAGATCTAGCGGTTGGTCAAAACTTGGTTGCCTCTATTGTTATGTCAAGATATGTTTATTTTTCCCTATCATAGTCAACATCGTAAGTCCTGAGTCTTGAAGTAATTGTGGGCCGGAATCCCACTCATTGTCACATCGTTCCATGGGCCGGCATGCCAGTACGGAGCTTAATTCTTGTACATGAAGAACTGAGGCGAGCCGTGTATATCAACCTCCATTGAGAACTTCCCCGGTGCCGGGTCATCCCCTGACTTCCAGGAAGTCAGGACCTTGTTCAGACCGCTCCTTCTATCCAACCCCAGTTTCATTCCCTGTAAAACCGAATCAGTCGGGTAATCAAAGCTTTGCCATACAACAACATTGTGGGTATGCTCCGACCCGTTTGTTGTGATCAGAACCAAATTGCCTGAAGGTAAGAGCACCGCGGTCGAGTTGATCATAACTGATGACACATTGGTAGACCACAGCGGTAGCCCTTTTTCGTTGTCGGTGTCGAATATGGCGATGTTGCCATCGTCGGCGATCTTGAAAACTCCGGTTTTGTTTTTGATTGGGGTGTCTCTATTAGTGACCCAGACAATAGTAGGTTCGGAAACTTTGTTAAACCAAATACCAAGGTATCGGTTCGCAGACTTTCCGGGACTGAAGAAGCCTAGTTTGAAATCGGCATTGGAGGACAAAAGAGCTTAATTGTTAGTGTCGGAGATGAACCGGTTGCGTGTTACAGTGTCGGTAGTAGTGTTACTGCCACAGAAGAGAAGTAATAGTGTGAGCAGAGTTACAACGAAACTTGTCTGGAATCCAAGGTTGTTAAAATCGGGATTCTACGCAAAATCGTTTTAGTCTCCGTAGAATCGGAATCGTAGAATCGGATCGTGAATCGTAAGATTCTACCAAATTGTGAAAAAACAATTGAAAATAACTTTTTAAACAATAAGATCTGTAAAATATAACAAAAATAAGGACAAAACATATAATTAAATATATCTAACCTCAACATAACCTATTAAGGAATAAAATTTGACATTTAAGAGATATTTTTTGCATTAAATTAACTCCTATATTATATTAGTAATTATATTTAGATTTATAATATTTTGAAAACTAAATTAATTATATATATATATATATATATATATATATATAATTTTTTATTGTATCTTGACGGCCCACGTATATATTGTATCTTGACGGCCCACGTATATATTTTTTATTTTAATTATATATTGTATATAATTTTTTTATTCTGAATAATCCTGACGGTCCACGTAAGCCAGTAGCCTTATCTCTGGCCGTCAGTATCTATCTTTGCTTTCAAAGAATATGAGCGACCTGCGAGCAACGACCGATGAAGCAGCGACCGGCGAGCAGCGACTGACGATCAGCGATGAAGACCAGCGACCAGTTCTACCAACTAGCAAGGACGAAGGTACCATGTTTTGCCTATTTATGTGATTTTAATCTGATTTCTGTGACTGTCCAGTGAATTCCCTTCTTCTCTTCACCTGTAGTATAGTCGGAGTGATGAAACCTTTAGGATTCATGATTGAATAACAATCTTTGATAGTGTATTATGAAATTTGTAGAATCGATCGAATCGTGTAGAATCGTACGATTCTACCATCGATTCTACCGATTCTATCCCCGATTCTACCAATTAAACGATTTTGTTACGATTTGAATCGATTTTGGATTTTAAATCGTAGAATTGTGCGATTCTACGACTCAGAATCGCGATTTTGATAACCATGCTGGAATCTCATGATCACATGAATACAGTGATCACGATTTATAATTAGTTACTTAAATGGATAGCTCATTTTCTCACAACCTAGCTATATATATATATATATATATAATGACTTGTAGATTATTTTTCTCTTTTTATTTTTCTTTTTCCTTATTTCCCCAGCCAAAAAGTATAGATATCATTCAAACGCCACTTGTAAGAGCGGTAGGATTGTATTCATTAACGCATTTAATAGCTCTGTATATAAAGAGCTTTTCTCGTACAACGGTTTAGTCTTTGGATCTACATTACAGATTAGAAGAGTGCTAAACACAGTCGCACATCTAATTGATTAAAAAATAAGTTATAATTAATGTGTCTTTCCTAATTTTTTTAGAATTTTAAAACTTCAATTTTAAAACCAAATTACCCTTTTAAATTATTTCTTCTTTCTTTATACTTAATAACCTTCTTTCTTTGTTACATATATTTAACTTTAATTTTTTTCTTTATTTTTAACAGTTTGTCTTCTTTTTTTACTTTCTTTCCTGATGGGATATATATGACTATACTTCATTATTTACTTTCTTTTTTTTTTTTTTTTGTTCACAGGAGGTGGAATATATATATATTCCACTTATATATATTCCACTTTGATGGATTTTTTTTTTGGATTTTATGTAATTTAATTGAAATAACGGTATGATATTGAGTTTTAATTGAAGTAATGTTATAAAATTTGAGTTTGAGTTAATATATGAAATAAGAGAAGTATGGTTTCCAATCTATTCACAATATGGTTAACTACTATATATATATAGAAAATGAAAGAATTGAAAAGAAAAAAAAAAAAAAGTAATCAATTCACATAAATTTTTTTTTTTCTCTCTTTTTTTAAAAAAGAGGGGAAAATAGTGAGTAACCATTCACACGGTAAACATATATATATATATATATATAGAGAGAGAGAGAGTTAAAAACAATTGAAAAAAGAGAAAGAAAGAAAAGAATAAGGTAGGTAAGTAAAGAAGAATGAAGGTTATATATACGTGTATACGTACAAGTAGGATAAAAAAGAAAGAAGATATATAAAAGGATAATTTGGTCTTAAAAGTTGAAGTTTTATAATTTCAAAAAAATAAATTTTTTTTTATTAATTACAACTTTTATAATTGAGTTTTTCAACCAATCATATGTGCTACTGTGAATACACAGTCGCTTGTTTAGCACTCCTTGATTACAGATTATTTTCTTCTGGATAAAGATTTGGAGAGAGCCGACACTCCCTAGCGATTGGATTTTTCATCTTCCAAATAAGTATGGCAACTCGTTTCTTTTATGGATAAGCCCCGCCCCCCCCCCCCCCCCCCCCCCCGCCCTTTCTGTTTATTCTCCATTCCTTCTCATGGGAGTGGGGAAGTGTCTACCTTTACCACTCACTGCTTAATAAACTTAACATGTTGTAATAAGTTTGTTCGGTGGGTGATTTCACGCCGTATTAAGTTGTTTTGCTAGATCCATGGGAGTGGGGAAGTGCCTATCTTTGCCACCCACCACTTAATAAATTCGGCGTGTTGTAATAAGTTTGTTCGGTGGGTGGTTTCACGCTGTATTAAATAGTTTTGCTAGATCGATCTGCTCTTATTTTGCTGATTTTCTGGCTGGACGGGGTGGATATGTCGGGTTTTATTGTTCTTGCCTTTTTGTGCGAGGTTGGGTAGTTTTTCCCCAGTCGTGGCACCTTGTGGATGCAACCTTAGAGTTGTTGCCTTAATGATGGCTTGACCTTTGGATCACTTCTGTTGCTACTCTTCTCCCCTTGGTAGTTTTCGTTGTTTGGTGTTGGCTTGTTTCTCAACAAATCTGGAGCCTATTCTTCAGTTTTTTCCATTTGTTGCTTCATGATTTGTTTGCCTATGTTTGGCCAAGGTTAAAAAATTAAAATAAATAAATTAGTGGTGGTAATTTAAGCTCAAACATATTAAACTGTCTAAACTCGCTCACTAAAATTAAATTAATATGGTACCCAAATTTAAGTGAGTAGATAAGAATGGATAAAAAGTGGGTATACCTATACAATTTAATGGTCAATGATTGATTAAGAGTGGATACCCATCTTAACCAACTTAAACAAAACCATTGTTTCTTTCTCCTTCATTTCTCTGTCTTTCATCTCCTCCATTTTCTGCCTCTCTCCTTGTCTTTTGTCTTTTTCATTTTTTTTTGCACTTTTTTTTTCTCCCTCCCTTCATTTATATTTTTATTTTTTATTTTTCCCCTGCCTTCTTTTTTTTTTTTTTTTTTTTGCACTTTTGTCTTTTTTTTTTTTTTTTTTTTTTTTTTTTTTTTTTTTTTTTGCATTCTCTCTCTTCATAATTAATTAAAACTCGAACTCAAAACTCCCTTTTTTTTTTTTTTTAAATATATGTAATTAATATTGTTGAGTAAGTTGTACAGTGACTTTTCTCAAAATAAAATTTAAAAAAAATTGTAACTTTTGAAATAAAAAAATTAATTAATATTATTGATTAAGTTGTATAGTGACTTTTTTCCAATATAAAAAGGGGAAAAAAAATTGTAATGCTTGAAATCAAAAAATTAATGTAAGAACAAATTATTAATTTTTTTTTTAGCCATGAATGGTAGGAAAGTAAAAAAAAAAAAAAAAAAAATTGCAAAAGTAAAAAAGAAAAAAGAAAAAACGGGTTGGAATCTAAGTCACATAAAGCTGGAGCGGGCGCGAGAGTTTAAGAAAGATTGTATAACTTAGGTTGGAATGGGTTAATTAGGGGCTAGGGCTCGTTCACCTGATTGATTGGCTGATAACCACCATTAACGGTTAAACATTATGTTAATAATGGTTATTAGTTATTGCTTTTAGATTGGGTTGGAAACTCAGGTTGGGCCTGGTCCCATTGTTTGCAAAAACTGGGCCAGTTTCCCTATAAAGGGCTGTTTGGCCAATTGGGCCAGTTTTTCCTAATATGGGCTGTTTGGCCAATTGACCCACTCTGTAATTGTTACTTATATTAATGTCAGTTCCTTAAAATTCTATAATAATAATAATAATAACACTCAAATTATTACAATATATGGTACAAAAATAGCTTAATTCAACAATAGTTTGTGTAGCACGCATAGATGTGCCAATCCCTATCTCTTTCTATTACAATTCCCAAATAGTATTCTCAAATGATATACTAATTCTCAACAAATGGCTTGAAAAAGATATTTTGGGCCACAAGTATTATCGTAGGGATATTATATGCCAATAAAAGATAAGTTTTAACTCATTCCGCACATATTAGTTTGGAAAATAAGAAACTATCAATCCTGGTGTATATGTAGAAAGCCCAAACGAAGAGAAGAGGTAGTACCAGATTAAGTATCAATATACATCTCTTTATATTTGAGGCCAAAACATTGTTCTGGCACATGCCAATTCATTATACAACTCTTGCATCAAGTTACTAATTGTAGTAATCAAGCTACATCATTATGCCTCAAAGTTGTGCATTCGTGTTTTTCCCAATAAGTAATACGTCTGGCTAGCTTGTAGGTTACAAGTATACAAAATATACGAACTCCAATCCATACAATTGCTAGTAAGTTTATCTGTCATCAAGCACAGTAACCGTAACTTCATTTATAGAAGATGACCCTGTTCCAGTGGACATTGATTCTGGTCTGTTCTGACTTCTTGGAACAGTAAATACTGGTTGCTTTGGTGGAGGAAGATCTGTTTCATTACTTAACATAAAAACAACAGATGCCATAGTAGGTCTGTCTATGGCGTTGTCTTGCACACACAAGAGTCCAACTTGAATGCATTGAAGGATCTCACGTGTGGGACATGAATCACCCAATGAAGAGTCTATTATGTCTAAGGCACTGTCCTCGGTCCAAAGTTTCCACACCTGAAAAAAGTTCTAACTCATTCTCGTAAGAGAAATCTAATACGATAAAAGATAAATTTAACACATGGTAGATCAACAAAACATAAATATTTGACTTACATAAGTTATGACATTTGAGTAGGGATCATTATGAAAAAAACCCACAGTTCTTCTTGCCACTGATTACTTCAAATACTATGACTCCAAATCTAAAAATGTCAAATTTCATTGAAAAGATCGAGGCCGTGCAAAGCATACTCGGGACTGCATACCACAGCACGAAAAAGTACAGTGGCAAAGCTAATTTGTACTCCAACTTTTGCAAGGACCATTATAACATAGTTGATAAACTTTTTTCTACAGCAACGTGTGTGTGCGCGCGCGATTTTTCCCAATGAAAAAGGATATCCAGTAACAAAGGATATGCTTGCAGAAACCTTTTATATGGCTCGACACTTACTATGTTCCCATCACCCCTGTTGGTATTTGCTTCACTTTGATTTCTTCCAAAAATTCTAGTAGTGCCAAAATCTGAAATTTTTGGATTCAATTCGTTGTCGAGAAGAATATTGCTGGCTTTTAATTCTCTATGAATAATTCGTAACCTGGAGTCTTGATGAAGATAAAGGATCCTTCGAGCAATCCCAACAATAATTTCATATCGTTTTTTCCAATCCAACAATGGCTTCCTAGTTTCTTCTGATTTAAATTTGCATTTTATCATACATATATATATATACTAGAATAAACATATTGTCAACGGGAATACATGTAAATATAACAAATGCATATATATATGTAACGAAGGATATAATTAGGGTCTTCTTCATTTTTGCATCAATGAAGGTAAGACTGTAAAATATACAATTAAAAAAAAAAAGTATAATAAAAAATAGAGTTTTATTTTCATCTTTGCATCGATGAAAGTAAGAACAGTAAACACAAAAGATATAATTAAAATTAAGTTTTTATTTTCATCTACATACGTACACTAATGGTGTCCATAACTCAAAAAATTTCAAAGCATTGATCCAGAATTTGTCTACGAAAGTAGATGATAATTTGTTACAAAGCTATCATAATCCCAATAAATTCTAAAAAGGATATCAAACAAAAAAAAATAAGAAAAATGAAACAAAGTCATATAAATCTTTACTGAAAATTTCAATTTTTTTTTTAGCAATGGTGAGAGATGATTCAAGTAAGATGTTTGGACTTTGGAGTAACTCATTTAAAAAATATTTTCCTCCAAACAAAGGTGTCGTTGCCAACAAAGCGTGACACATGACTGGACAATAGCATTTGCTGTTAATGTTATTGCTAGAAGAAGATGATGTTCTAGAATTTAATTTCCGAGAAAAAAGAAGAAGGTATATTATAGAATTTCTCACATTAATAATTGGCAATACTTGTTCTCTTGACTCAACCTCTTCTTCTTCATCCTAATGGTGAAGTTTGTATTACTTCTATCTTGCAATCCTTTTTAATAATATAATATGGGTTTCGTGATAATTTGTGATGTTCTCTCCAGTACATTCTAGCAACTCTCTAATTATTATATAGAACAAAAATAGCTCAATTTTTTCCCCTAGCTAGCCCCTCTTTTTATTGGCAATTCAACAATAGCTTGTGTAGCAATACACTATTTCTATTATTATCCCCAAACAGTATCCTCAAATGGTAATCTAATTCTCAACAATCACTAGAAAAGAAAAAATAAATAAGTAAATTGGACCGCAAGTATTATTACAGGGACATTAAATGCTAATAAAAGATAAATTTTAACTCATCACACACTGGAAACATCTGAAACAGTTTAGGTCTGGAATGAAAAAATAAACTCACACCCCACCCACTCACATATCCCAACCGGAACTTGAATTCTCGAGCTTTAATTTTAAAATGCGAAAATATACTACTAGACTACAGCCGTAGGACATGGAGCATATTTCAGTTGATATGCTGGCATTTGCTGAAGATTTTGATCAGCTTCCTACTAAACTCTGGTTGCTTTCGGTAAGCATACGAGGCTTGTATCCTTCTGAATTTGATTAATAAATATTTTTGGCACATGTTAGTTTGGGAAATAAGAAACTATCAATCCTGTTGTAAATGTAGAAATCCCAAATGAATTGAAGAGGTACTAGATTAAGTATCAATATACATCCCTTTATATTTGAGGCCAGAACATTGTTCTGGCATGTCGCTAATTGTAACAATCTAGCTACATGCAGCATGCCACAAAGTTGTGCATTCGCGTTTCTCCCAATACAACTATAAGTAGTCTGGCTGCTTGTGGGTTACAAGTATACAATAAATACGAACTCCTTACAATTACTACTAAGTTTATCGGCCATCAAGCGCAGTAATTGTAACTGAATTTATAGAAGATGACTTTGTTCCGGTAGACCTGTTCTGACTTCTTGGAACAGTAAATGCTGGTTGCTTTGGTGATGTAAGATCTGTTTCGTTACTTAACATGAAAAGAACACTCGACATAGTTGGTCTGTCCACGGCGCTGTCTTGGACACACAAGAGCCCAACTTGAATGCATCGGAGAATCTCACGCGTGGGACATGAATCACCCAATGAAGAGTCTATTATCTCTAAGGCCCTATCCTCGCTCCAAAGCTTCCACACCTGAAACAGTTCTAACTCATTATTGTAAGAGAAATCTAGTACAATAGAAGGTAAATTTTAACACAAGGAAGATGAACAGAATATAAATATTTTACTTACATAACTTATCAAATTTGAGTAGGGATCATCATGAAAAAAACCACAGTTCTTCTTGCCAATGATAACCTCTAATACTATGACTCCAAAGCTAAAGACGTCAGATTTCACTGAAAAAAGGCCATCTAGAGCGTACTCAGGTGACATATAGCCGCTGCATACCACAACATGAAAAGAGTATAGTTGCAAAACTAATTTGTGCTCCAACTTATGCAAGGACTATTGAAACATAGTTGATAAACTTCTTTCTACAACAATGTGTCTTTTTTTTTTTTTTTTTTAATGTGTGTGCCTTGACACTTACTATGTTCCCATCACTCTGTTGGTATTTGCTTCGCTTTGATTTGCTCCAAATATTCTTGCTGTACCAAAGTCGGAGATTTTTGGATTCAACTCATCGTCTAAAAGAATATTGCTGGCTTTCAAATCTCTATGAATTATTCTTAACCTGGAGTCTTGATGAAGATAAAGGATCCCTCGAGCAATCCCAACAATGATTTCATGTCGTTTTTTCCAATCCAACAATGACTTCCTAGTTTCATCTGATTTAAATTTGCATTTCATTAGACATAGATTTATTAAAATAAACACATTGTCAACTGAAATAAAAGTAACAAATGGATTTATGTATAACGAAGGGGTCATACCAAAAATAAAATAGTCCAAGCTTTTATTTGGCATATATTCATAGATGAGCATTGTTTCCTCATTCTCAATGCAACAACCTAGAACCCTCACAAGATTTCTGTGCTGAAGTTTTGCAATCAACACCACCTCATTTTTGAATTCAATGACTCCTTGTCCTGAGTTCTTTGATAACCTTTTGACTGCTATCTCTTGTCCATTCGATAGCTCACCCTGTAGGTTGAAATTAACTCAAACAAATACTGATACAACAGGTATATGATATGAATTAAGAAACATCTGTCTCATTGCAACAATTCTCTAAAAGCTATTGTTACTTGAGAAGTACAAAGATAATCTTACGTAATTTAAGCTATGTGGAAACCTCTGTTCCAAAACAAACATTTCTAAATTCCAAGTAATGGAAGGTATTTAAATTTACTGGGGATATGAATAATATTTTGAAACCAAATTCCCAAGAAATTCTTAGACTTGAAGACGGACTTGCATGTTATTTTACCTGATATTTGCGGATCAAACAACCACATAAATCTTAAATACTTGGTGAAAGAATGACTACCTTATAAACTGGCCCAAAACCTCCTTCTCCAAGCTTTCTATTGACACAGAAATTGTCCGTTGCTGCTGCTATAGTATCTAGATCATAGAATGTCAATTCTAGGATCCCGCTCGGTTCATGGTTATTTGATTTTGGAGTATTCTGGTTGTTTGAATTAGTTGTGTCGTCCAAAAGTAACATTCCCCGATATTTTTGCTTCTGCTTGAGACCTGAATACAATTATAAATTTACACAAATAATTGAATGAGTACTAATATAACATTCGTAGAACAAAATGTACTGATTTCTATGTTATTTAAGTTAATTCATTGAGGGTTGCATCAATGATGGGTTGGTAAAATTGACACGAAGGAATTAGTCTAGTTCATTTTATATCAGCTTATCACTCTTTTCCACTAATTTTCTACTTGCACTTCTGTTTTCTTCTTTTTAAAACAAAAACAGAAGTGCAACCAAGCTACTTTCCGTAGTATATAATCCATTTACCTTTCTTCTTGGCATGCTTTCTCCACAAGTAATAAGAGCAAGAAATGAAGAGAAGCAGTCCCAAGGCAACCGGCAGAAATATGAGCACAAGTGTCCTCTTCATTCCATGAAAACCTTCTGAGTTCTTCCTCATATTTGCCGCTGTTTAACAAGCAGAAAAATCTCATTTTCATAGTAAGTTATAGATTCAGCAGTAGAAATTAAAAAGTCAGAATCAGCATAACAAAGATCGCAATACGCTAGCATTAGCAAGTAAAGGCACCTCTATTCCTATTTCTTTTCTTCTAATACCACAATTACCCTTTCAATTATAAAAATATATATTTGTCTCTCTCTCTCCCCCCAATTTATCGTTTTGGGTCACTTACCTCTCAATTATTTCTCTGCTTTGTATTAACTATGTGCTATCTTTTAGTTTTAGTCAGGGTTTAATATTGATCTTTGTATGTAACAATGAAAGATTTGCACATTAAGCATGTAAGAACTATCAAAACTTCATGAGTCATTTAACACCATCGATGCTAATGGTGATTGTAATTTTTTCTTTTATTTTTCTTTTCATATTGTGTTTTGAGTTTAAATTTTTTTTTTTTTTTTTTTTTTTTTTTTTTTTTTTTTTTCCTTCATGTGATTTTCAAGAATTAATTTGGAATGTATTTAAATCTTGACATTTTTCTTGTTGATGAGAAAAACACTAACTGTTTTGACAATAAAATTTCAAAATAGTCAAAACCTACGTCTATAGAATTCACCTTCTAAATATATGTTTAATATTAATTGAAGACAAAATAAATAAATAAATAAATAATAATAATAATAATAATAATCATTCACTATAACATTGTTATTCAAGAAAAATATTTTATAGAAGGAAGAATTTTCAGCAAAAACGATACTGCATGTATACAGGAATAACTAATATAGAAAGAAGACGATGGAAGGGTAATTTTATCTAAAATTAATTAGTTCATTTTAATATGCCGAGTAAGTCTAACGAGAATAATTAGTGCATTTAATATGCCAGGTAAGTCTAACAAGAACAAATGGTTTATTGTCAGGGTAGGTGCAAAAAACACCCATTTATTTTTAAAAATGTACAAATAACACCCTTATTGTTCAAATTTCACCCCTCTAGTTTCAAAAAGTTACAAATAAGGACTTTTTGTCGGAAGGGTAGGTAAAAATACTAAAATATTCCCCAATATTCTTTATTCAATAATAATAATAAAAATTGGAGAAGTTAAAATTACCCAAATAGACATTGACCTAAACTATATCGTTTTGGGTAATGAAACAAAGCACAATTGCAAACTACGTCGTTTAGTCATTCTCATTATACCATCATCCATCAACCATGCTTCATCAACACTACTGCTCACCCTCTTTCTCACTGCCGACGTCGTTGTCTCATCGGCTGAGCTCATCGATCCAGCCAACATCAAACATATAACCCGTGAATGAGGGTGTGTACATGTATACACACAACCATATAACAAAGCAAAAAAGACCAAGTTGGAAAATCACAGAAAAACCAACTGGGTCGAAAGATGAAATGAGAATTAGATGTACCAGCACGAAATTGTTCTCGTAACCACGCTACTTTGGATTCAAATCGTCGTCGTGAATGGTGATTGTAGCAGAATAGTTGAAGATGAGTACAATCACTGCACAATGTCCATTGAAGTCAACAAAGCTTTGTTTGTGCATCTCCATTGAATCCGGGAAGCATTTGTCAACGCCGAGTTTCGTTGCGCAACCGATGGTGGTATTGTTGGGTTTCAATTAAGTTTTGTAGACAATTCAAATTGGCGACGGTGGTAGTGTTGGGTTCGATTAAGGCTCTGCAAGTTGTCTGCGATGATGGTGATGGTTTGGTTTGGGGTTCCTCTTGGGTTCGTCGTGGATCCGATTAGGTGGTGATGATGGTGGTAGAAATAGTGATATATATATATATATATATATATATATATATATATTGGGAAAGAAATCCTTGCCCATACTAATACTCGCACTGATTCCCTGTCTCGCATCACGCTTTTTTTGCCCTGTGAATCAATCTGGTTCTGGGGCTTGATCTAAGTGATATTGCCTACAATTCAAGTCTTAGTGCAATCTTGGAAACAAACTAGACAAAAAATGAGATTTTGATATTTGTATATATATATATATATAGAGAGAGAGAGAGAGATCAAACTGCTCCGGCGATGGCTTCCTTCATCAAAACGGTGAAAGCCCATAATCTCCTAAATCGGACAAACCGCCGAAGATTCAGCAACCAAACCGGCAAGGATTTTCAGTAACTCAACCGGCGATACGTCAATGACTCCTTCTATGTCCATTAAGCACATGAGCTTCACTTGTGTTCCTGCATATCAGACCTCACTTGTGTTCCTACATATCAGTGTGTGTATATATACATATATATATATATATATATATAGCCTGTTCATCCTCATATTGATTATGAATTTTATACTTTAGATAATTCAATTGATTCAAACTCAAATGCATTTTCTATTGTTCCTCAATAGAATTCATTTTAGAGAGAGAAAACAATTGATTTTAGAGAGAAGGCATTGGAGGAGAATGCCTGAAAAAGGAGAAAAATGGTAGTGCAAAAGTGTGTAAAAAACCCCCCTGTATTTTCAAAGGGGTATTTTGGGTAGTGCAAAAGGATATTTTTGGTATTAAAGGCCAACTTTTGCTCACATGCACGGCACATGACAATAGCAACAGGAGTGTTATTTGCACATTTTTAAAAATAAAGGGGTATTTTTTGCACTTACCCCTTGTCTTTATTGTCCTTAACTATATCATTTTCAGAACAATTGAAAATTAGGAGCTGATATTAGCACTCCAAATATACTCCAGCGCTCCAAACATATACTGAATTGACAAAAGAGTCATTCACATGACAAAAAAACTATTCTACTTCATCTTCTTTCTCATATTCTGTCTTCGTCAACGCCTTTTTCTCTCTTTTTCACCGGACACTACCTTTTCTTAAATTAATGATTGTTGGTCAATAATACCATATCTTACATATGTGCATTCAACACCTTTCTCCCACCAATAACAAAGAAACCTGTCACTGCTTGAACTATTCCACCTCTTTCTCTGCCATGGCTGCGAGAAATTAGGCTTGCACGTAAAACACGTCACTACCATGCATCCATTGACGCTACCACCACTCTCCGTTGCCACTGCAACCAAATCATGCCCTGCTACCACGTCTCCGTAATTTTAAATTCATATTAGAGAGGTCGCTAGGGTTTCGCCGGCGTGTTTGGAGGTTTTAGGGGGGCAGGCATGGCCGCAGCGGCGAAGAGGGTGGTTGGAGGAGGGTAGGTGGCAACTTCCATGGTGGTTGTTTGGAAATCTAGGGTTTCACTGTTTCACTGACTCGTTTTGTAGGGTTTCAACATCTTTCACGCTTTTTGTCTACTATCCGAGGTTTTTTATGGGGTTGTATGAGTAGTTATATCAGAAACTTTGTAGGCAGAGGAAATCAACGGGATTGATGACTTTTGATGAGAGACCCCTATTGTAACGACCCACTCCACCACATGGTATGATATTATCCGCTTTGGGCCTGAGCCCGCACGGTTTTGCTCTTGGGCTTCACCCCAAAAGGCCAATTGAAGATGACACACTTACATATAAGCACTTCATATTTCCTCTACCCAAGCAATGTGGGACTTGTGCACTCGTAACTCGCCAGTGTGGTAACCTGACAGTGTCTCTCGCACCCGCCCACGGCACACTTGCTCACAAGGTCATCACAATCCACCCCCCTTGGAGGCCCGACGTCCCCGTCGGCACACTTCCGGCTGGGTCAGGCTCTGATACCATTTGTAACGACTCAATCCACCACATGGTATGATATTATTCGCTTTGGGCCTGAGTCCGCACAGTTTTGCTCTTGGGTTTTACCCCAAAAGGCCTCATACCAATTGGAGATGACACACTTACATATAAGTATTTCACCTTTCCTTTACCCAGGCGATGTAGGACTGTGCATCCTTAACTCGCCAGTGTGGTAGCCTGACAATGTCTCTCGCACCCGCCCACAGGGTCATCACAATCCACCCCCTTAGGAGGCCCGACGTCCCCTTTGGCACATTTCCGACTGGGTCAAGCTCTGATACCATTTGTAACGACCCACTCTACCACGTGGTATGATATTGTCCGCTTTGGGCCTGAGCCAGCACGGTTTTGCTCTTGAGCTTCACCCCAAAAAGCCTCATACTAATTGGAAATGATACACTTATATATAAGCACTTCACCTTCCATTTACCCAGGCGATGTGGGACTTGTGCACCCGTAACTCGTCAGTGTCAAGGTCATCACAATCCACCCCCCTTCGAGGCCCGACGTCCCTGTCGGCATTGTCCGCTTTGGGCCTAAGCCCACACAGTTTTGCTCTTAAGCTTCACCCAAAAGGCCTCATACCAATTGGAAATGACACACTTACATATAAGCACTTCACCTTCCCTTTACCCAGGCGATGTGGGACTTATGCACCCGTAGCTCGCCAGTGTGGTAGCCTGACAGTGTCTTTCGCACCCGCTCACGGCACATCCGCCCACAAGGTCATCACAATCCACCCCCCTTGGAGGCCCGACGTCCCCGTCGGCACACTTCCGGCTGGTTCAGGCTCTGATACCATTTGTAAGAACCACTTCACCACATGGTATGATATTGTTCGCGTTGGGCCTGAGCCCGCACGGTTTTGCTCTTGGGTTTTACCCCAAAAGGTCTCATACCAATTGGAGATGACACACTTACATATAAGCATTTCACCTTTCCTCTACTCAGGCGATGTGAGACTGTGCACCCGTAACTTGCCAGTATGGTAGCCTGACAGTGTCTCTCGCACCCGCCCACGGCACACCCGCCCACAGAGTCATCACACCTATAATATCTATATAGTGGGTATAACCTTTAATGTTTGTTAGCCATCTCTCTACATAAAAATAGGTGCGAATTAGAACATTTTGTCTGTTGACCGGTACCGGAGCTGAGAATATGCTTAAATACCCCTCTCTCTATAATTTTAAAACATAATTAAAATAACATGAAATGTGAAAATACAAAAAAGGCCAAGTTATGTTCGTCTCTTTCTGGATTTCAATGGAGTG